CACGAACTTCGTTCGGGGGATACAATAAATGTACAGTCGTTTAATAGAGCAAAATCTACTTGAAGACTAACATGTGACCTTCTAGATTAAGGAATGTATAATTAAACTCCAGTCCAAATATTATAATTAACGATATAGACGTTTTAATGTTACAACGTTACACATCCACGGTGTGTCACCACAGCCAGATTTTTAGTGTACCGCTCCATTCGCTGGGCGGCGCCACCATTCAATTGCATTACACCATTTTAGCGTTTCGTCCAGTCTGTGTATCCGTTAGTCTGCGGTGTTACCTTCGCAAATTGTCGTGTACCATTCGTATCACCAACAGATCGTGTATCATTGCGTCAAATATGTTACAATATTAATAATCGCGCGCTATAAGACATTGATCATAACGTGATCTATTCTGACTCCATTCACGACATGCATTCAGCTCACATTTATACTCTTCTATTCATACAATAAGGTAAAGCATACACATCAATAATAAAAAGCAGTGACCCCACGTTAGATTTAGTTCTCTAAATAATTCCTCGCTATCTTTATGGTGCCATAGAATCGAGAACCAAGCATGTGGAATGCAGATAGGGTAATACTGTCTAACCCCCCGTGGCCAGATTCAGGACTTTATTACACACCCGTAATTATCTGTCGAGCGCAACGCGATGAAATTATGTAAAATTTTAAATATTAAATTCGCGTTGACGGTAATAATCAATACTACCATTATCGCTAGGTTATTATCTTTTGATGCGCTGCCGAGTACTAAGTTAATAAACGTGAGTTAATAGCACTATTAACAGATGGAGATGCACGTGGCCTAAGAGTTTACTTACCTCTAACTGCTGTTAGCGCATGACATCCGCTGAATTTTTACTACTTGGTTATTTGTACTGGTTACTCAACCGGGTAGGTATAGGTATGTAATAGAAAGTGGCATTGCCATCACCTTATAACGTGATGTACATGTTTGATGTGTAGTGTTATGTATACGAGCCTTGTTGAGCAGACTGCTGTGTGGTTGAGAGTGTTTGTATATACCTGTCTAAAAATACAGTGCCATATCTCTTACTCTAACCTGCCTACCGAAAGTCGCCATATTTCACAAGTAATGGATAGGGGCCTACTGTGCGAGTGCAGTGCATTGCGATACATATATATATATAACTGTGTTATATATCTATATCTGTCTGTCGAACGCCATACATCCTATTCAACCTATAGCTACCGAAATTGGCAGTATTTCATGCGCAATGTAGCAGTTCTAGCTCTTTTTCGTGCGTTCGATATTTTAATACTGTATACTTGCTTAGCGCCAGCATTCCTGTTAAACTAACGTCGATCAACCGGAATACGCATTAAGCCTATCCTTTCTACAACGTCACTGAATGGTAAACGAACAAGCCCTTAATTTCCAGGATCACTGGACACATATCAGTGGTCTATTATTGGAAGCGACTATTACAGAACCGCGGGCGCAACAGCTGGTATCTATGTGCATACACTATTGCATCTTTCCCTCGCATACGTTGCCGAGCTGTGTGTAACGTGATGGAGGTGGTTGGAGTAGGAGCGAAATTACGGCACAGATTCGTCTCTAATGTGACGATGTTTCGATGCAGGTCGCTCGGATGTACTTACTCGGCGTTGGCCCGCGCATGGACCGCATGTTAGGTGTCGCAGCACGCCGGATAGCATCATTCTCCGCTTCCTCGCTCCTTCTCCGCGCTAGTGATCGAATCTCACCAACGTCTCGTGACGACTAAACCACAACTGAAGGCTATCGACGTCTGCAGATGAAAGTATAGGTGATAGTGCGGGTATTAGTGTGAGTAATAGTGTAAGTATTAGTGCAGGTATTAGTGCAGGTATTAGTGCGAATAATAGTGCAGCTGGTAGTTCGGCTGATTATGAACCAATCGGGCACTAATAATTTAACCAGCAGTGCAGCCGAGAGTACAACAGCGGGAATAGAAGGAAACACGCGCCACGACCTTTTCCCGAAGTTCGCTCTACTTGCGTCCAAAAAATCCTCACACAGACAGCGAGAGAGAAAGACAGAGAGCGAGAGAGAGAGGGAGAGAGAGAGAGAGAGGTGAGAGAGAGAGAGAGAGAGAGAGAAGGGGAGAGAGAAGGTAAATATCACACTTACACACGTGCACGTAAGGAGAGGTGAATACACGTCTAAAAACACACGGGTGTGCACCGACACACACACACACACACACACACACACACACTCGTTGTCTCTTGCAAGTGGTGGGACAGCGACCTGTGTCTTGCTGGTGTCGCGTTCAATGAACTGTCGTACAGCCGCCGGCCATCTTGGGGTGAATGTGTCACGGCGACGACAACTTCCTCGTTGGCTCTCAGTGTGTCACGCGCCGCGTATTGTCGCGTGCTTGTGCGGTCGGATAGTATGGCTGGGAGAGTAAGAGAGAAATAGAGAGCGAGTGGAGATATAAAGAGAGATCGAGAGAGCGAGAGAGAGAGAGAGAAGAGAGAGAAGAGAGAGAGAGAAGAGAGAAGAGAGAGAGAGAGAGAGAGAGAGAAGAGAGAAGAGGGTAAGAATATAACCACTATACGGATCTAACGCAAGCGAGACGAGAAAAGGAGAGAATGAAGCGAAGAGGGAGAGAGAATGAGATTATAGAGAGATAGATAGATATAGATACGATGGATAGAGAGATAGAAGAGAAAGAGAGTAAGAGAGAGAGAGAGGTAAGATAGATAAATAGATAAAATATATATATATATATATATATATATATAGATAGATAGATAGATAGATAGATAGATAGATAGATAGATAAATAGATAAATAGATAGATAGATAGATAAATATATAGTTAGATAGATAGACAGAGAAAGAGAGACAGAGAGTGCGCGAAAAGCAGGAAGAGGAAAAGTGATAGCGCGAAAGAGGGGGGGGGGGAGACGGAGGGGCAAAGAATCGAAAAATTGCTCCGGGGAAGCAACAACAACTAGTTGCAATAAAAGAGTGATTGGCGCTGTGCGTGTAGCAACCATAGCTGCAGGCGCGCGTCCCGCACAGGCCAAGCATGTCTAGCGATGACTGTAGTCCTGTACTACGCGCATAGTTCTGCACACGGTTCATGCACACACGGTACGCTGTCGTAATGTAGTAGCACGACAGGTTAAGGTGTTGACTACGGACGTTACCGTGAAATAGATCTTTTTTCACAACTTTGTTATTATCGTCATTGCATATTAGCTGCGTTTTGGGTTGCGTCTCGGTTGCGTCATGCTTGCGTCTTGACTGGTGTTGTCGCGCGTCATGATGACAGCGTTTTTAAAAATTTTATTCGTTCGCGATGCCGTTAGTGTTGTTGTTGCGCGCGATTTTCGCAGCAAAAATACTTTTTACTGCTTACAGCGTTCGTTAATCGACATGGTCCCGTCAACACGCCGCGGGATGAGTTGTCGTGACGATGAAATTGAAAACTGATGACTTTTTATCTTCTTTATTTTCTCGCTGCAACGATGACATACGGCGACTTATTTAAGATTAGAAAGCTCTCATATTCTTCCAATGCGTGAGAGTTCCTGCTGCGCAGAGCTCGGCGTGTGTTAGCGAAGTAACAGGCATGCACTTCCACGGACTAGTTTATAGAATCTAGACGTGAAATCGTGCGAATTTGTGCATGTTTGATTTATTTTAAAACCATTATAAATCGATTTTTGAAACCTGAAATATCCGGCTAGTTTTATTAGATATTTCTGAAATGCATGAAAAATGTGTTGGCGTTCGAACACGTGATGACATGTAAATCCACGAATCTCATGATTAATTCGCCAGAATTGACAGGAATGAGACTGATAAACAACACGCAACATTGTACGAGCGTGTGATTTTGTTATATAATAAAAAATATGGTCGTGTGTTAGTTTGCGCCATTGTATCATCTAAGAGAGTGTCTTCCATGTTTGTAATATAATAAAAAACGTTGTATTCTCTGAAAATCTTATTTTGATCTTTATATTATAAAATAAAAACAGTTTGTGGGTAAGTATACGCTACTATATTATAGCCTTGCTATACAATGCCCTCACTCCTTTACGGGTTATTTCAGATCGCTGTTTCAGGGCAGTGAACAAATAGTTCCTTTAAGGAACGGCGACGAATAAGCATAAATCAACTATAAAAACGACCGTAAAGACAACAACAACGCCGACGAAAACGACGACAACGACAACGATGACGAGGACGACGACGAAAACAACAACAGCAACAACAACAACAACAAAACAACAACAAAACAACAACAACAACAACAACAACAACAACACCAACACCAACACCAACACCAACACCAACACCAACACCAACACCAACACCAACACCAACACCAACAACACCAACAACAACAAAACGAATCACAATTTCGAAAAATAAGAATACACGGTTTTACTAAACAGATATTAAAGCACGAAGCGAACCGAGTCTTTTACGCAATAAATATGAATACAGAGCGAATAATACGATAACGAATGACAAGTCGTTTTGCAATTCATTCGTGTGTGATTCATTCTGACAGTGGCTTGTATTCATCACTGCTTCTTCTCATCATATAACTATAGATTACTCGATTGCTTGCGTTTCGCTGAGAATCGCGAACAGACTAACTAACTATACAGACTAACACGGGGATAGCGTTATTGCCAGGCCGAGCCGATGTCTATTGTGTGTGTACGCGTGTGTAAGAGCCAAGTGTGTACGTATACGTCGCATATATATATATATATATATATGCTGATAAGGATAGTCAATACTCAATCGATCTCTAGCATGATAGTATTTACAGATAGACAGAAATCGATTTCCAATAAATAGACCTAACTGAATGGTATCATAAACGGCTTTGTAGGGCTGGATGAAATGGCCTTTACTTTGGTTATTTTGATCTCATTCGCTGCCTAACCGTGGATAGTTGCGCTAATCTGGTTAAATATTTCCGAGCAGCGCACATAAGACTATAGTCACCGCGTTATAATAGAACGCGAAAACATCGGGGTAGTAGTTATAATTGCTCACCATCTCTTCGTTAGTCACACCATGACGAAGGTCACAATTAAGATTCGTGGAGAGTTCCAGTCGTCCAGCCCCGTTATTGCGGGAACAGCACTTAGTGACGACAAACGCGACGACAACGACGACGATGATGATTACGATGATGATGATGATGATGATGATGATGATGATTACGATGACGATGATGATTTTGATGACTACGTAGATGATAACGTGCATAATCGGCTATCATTAAACGACTAGCTAATGCTATTATATTGCGCTTCAGCGTTCCAATGTAATTAACCACGATTCGTTATTCGTTAGACTATCAACTTAATTAGTATGGAATAACGCTTAACTACATTTCAAGCAATCAAGCGCTAGATGGAAAATTCTTACTTCCGTTTTACATACTAACCGTAATGTCATTAGTTGGTTAATTAGTTAATCCTTGCCACTCGTTACGTGTGCGTCCACCAAGGGAATCACATTTTAATCCGCTCTCTGCCTGGTAAATATGTACCTACGCGCACACCCATACCACACACACACACGCACACGGGAATCACATTTTAATCCGCTCTCTGCCTGGTAAATATGTACCTACGCGCACACCCATACCACACACACACACGCCCACGCACGCACGCACACACACACGCACACACACACACACACACACACACACACACACACGCCACACACACACGTGCGCGCACATAAACACACACACACACACACACACACACACGCCACACACACACGT